ATTATCATAATTTATATTAAATTATTTATAAAAAAAATAAACATATTTATTATAATAAAAATTAATTTAAAAAAGAAATTATATAAATTAATAATAATAAAATTTTATATTTATTAATATATTTAAAATTATTAAATTTATGTATAATTATATAAAATAGATATATATATAAATATATATATATATATTTATATATATTTATTTTAATATATAAATATTTATATATATATTTAAATTATATTATAAAATAATTTATTATTTTAATTTTAATTAATATAAATATAAATACATATTTTTTTTTATTTTTTTAATTTATTAATAGTATTGTAATTAAAGCTATATTTTAATTTAATAATATTTTTTAATAAATATATATTTACTACAATTATTTCTTTGTTTTTTTTTATTTATATCTTATAAAATTTTAGTATAAAATTTTGATAAAAAATTTATATAAAGAAATAATATAAAATTTGATCTTTATTTTTTAATTATATACTAATCAATAATAAGAATTAAAAAGAAAAAATTAATTTGATTTAAATATATATATATATATATATATATATATTATTATTTAATTTTTCTAATATTTTTTTTTTTTAAAAAAAGTTTTCTATAAATTATAAAAATTATATATCATTTTTTATCTATAATAAAAAATATATTTTTAACTATATGTTTTAAAAAATTTTAATTTTTATTTATAATAAATTTTAACTTAAATAAATAAATAAATAAAAAAAAATATATATAATAATAATATAATTATGTATAAAACACAAACACTAATAATTTTCTTAATATTTTTTACTTTCACCGATTTTTAAAGTCTATAATAATAAAAAAATCATTTAGAATGTCCTAGAGAATGTTAATAATGTAATTATGATGGAGTATGCATTTAATGCAAATAAGGTTTTTATTTTAATAATTATTATTAAAGATGTGTTTCATGCCTTTATGTATAAAGCAATTGTTAAACTTGTACGGAAGATATTTGCCTCGAATGTCTTCCTGGATTTTAACTAGATACTATTTAACAAGTATGTATTTTTTATCCTAGAAGTGTAGATGGAAAAAAAGAAAAAATATGCCCTTATGAATGCTAATAATGTAGTTTAAATGGAGAATGCACCTAATGTAAATCTGTCTATTATTTCAACTAAAAATATTAATAATGTATTCTTTGTCTTGATAGTTATTTTAATTGTAAAGTATGCTCGGAATTAGGTTGCATTGAATGTAGTCCTGGATATTAACTAAGTAATTTTACAGGATCATGTATTAAAATTCATTAAAATGTTTAAATAAATAATAAATAATAATAATGTCCTTACGAATGTTAATATTGTAGTTCAGAAGGAGAATGCAAATAATGTAAATAGATTTTTTATTTGGATTAATAAAATTAAAAATGTGTTTATTGTGTTAATAAATTTAGAAATTGTCATGCTTGTACTGAAGATGCTTGCATAAAATGCCTTCCTGGATTTAAATTAGATAGTTTTTAAGGATAATGTACTTTAATGCCTGAAAGAGATTAAATAAATGAAATAATATGTCCTAAAGAATGTATAAAATGTAATTAAGATGGAGTATGCACTTAATGCAAATAAGGAAATTATTTACATAAATAAAATATATAATGCGTTAATTGCCTATACATATTTAGTAATTGCCAAAATTGTACAGAAGATGTTTGTATTGAATGTTTTCCTGGATTTTACTAAGATAGTATTTCAGGATATTGTACTTTAATGCCTGAAAGAGATTAAATAAATGAAATAATATGCCCTTAAAATTGTGAAAAATGTAATTAATTTGGAGTATGCAATTAATGCAAATAAGGCTATTATTTACATTAATAAAATTAATAATGTGTTCTTTGTTATAATATATTTAATAATTGTAAAAATTGTACAGAAGATGTTTGCTTCGAATGTCTTCCTGGATTTTACTTAGATAGTATCACACGATCATGCAAATAAATGAATAATGGAATTATACATCAAGTTATAGAAAATAATGCAATATAATAGGATAGTTCTTAAGGAGTATTAGTTTTTGTAATTAATTATGCCTTGTTTGGACTATTAATGTAGTGATTTTATAAAAAGAGAAATTAAAAATTAAAATTTAAATTTAAAATTTAAATTAAAATATATATTTAATTTAAATAATTTTTTTATTTATTTCTAATTTTTATTTATATCAAAATAAAAATATATATTAATAAATTATAAGATTAAATAATTAATATAAACTAAATTAAATTTAATAAATAAATAAAAAAGGATTTTATTTTTTAATTAAAATTTTTATTTATATATAATTTAGATAAATAATTTAAAAAAATAATTTTTAAATTATTTTATATTTAAAATTTAAAATAAATATATAAAAAAAAAAATTAATTTATGATTATAATTATATAATTTAATATTAATTTTGAAATAAATATAAATAATTATATGATTATAATAATAAAAAAGTATAAATGATTAATTAAATTAAAATATGTATTTAAATTTTTTAAATTAAAATAATAAAATGTTAAATTCAAAAAATTTAAAAATATATTTATATAAATAAATAAAAATAAAAAATAAATATATTTATTTAATAAATTTTTTTTTTATTATAAAAAAAATATAATAATATTTATTAATAAATTTTTATTAAAAAATTATTTATTATTAAATATTAATTAAAAATATTATGAAAATTTTATCATTATTGTTTTTATAAATATAATTTTTTTGATTATAATGTTTAAATATATAAAGAATTGTAAAAATTATTATTTATTATATTATATAATATATATGGAAAAAATAATAAAAATATTTTTATATTATAATACAAAATTAATTTTTTTAATGATTTTAATAATTATTATTATTTTTAAAAATTATTATTATAATTAATATTATAATTATTATTATTATTATTATTATTATTATTATTTATTATAATTATTATTATAATACCAAAATAAAAAAATTTATAAAATATTTTATTTATAATATAAAAAATAATATATTTTTTAGTTTTTTTATTTTGAAATTTATATAATCTGCTTTTTTTTGATATTTAAAAATCATATTATTCTTAAGTTTTAATTTTTCGATCTTTTTTATGATTTTTTTGATTTTTTTAAATTTTCTTTTGTTTATCAACTTTTTAGAATCATCTTTTTTATTTAAATTAATTTTTTTAATTTATATCTTAAAATTTTAATTTGTCTTAAAAAAAATAAAAAACTGAATAAATATATAAATTACAAACTTTTTTATCTTTAAAAAACTTTTTATTTTTTTTAAAATAAATTAATTGCTTAAATTAACTACATTTCGCATTTAAGTGAATTTAAATCTATTTATTCTTTATTTTTATATTAATTTATTTATTTAAATGGTATTTTATTGAAATTAAGTTAAAAAAAGTAATAAATATAAATAAAATTTTAAAATATATAAAAAAGTTAATATATTATATTTTTTTATTTATTTATTAATAAAAATTATTATATAATTTTATGTTTCATAAAAATATAACTGTTTTTACTGTTTCATGTATAAAGTAATTACGATACTAAAAATAAAATATAAAACTAAATTTAAAAAAAAAATATTTAAGCGATTAAATTATAAAATTTTTACGTCTAAAAAAGAAATAAGTTAAGAATTAATTCCTTATTTAGTTTTCATGTAATTTAATTTATGAAGAATTAAGACTTGTAAAATATACAATACTAATTATCCTAAAAATAAGTTTTATAAATTTCTGATAAGAAGAAATTAATATTTTCTTTTGCAAGTAAAATAGAATATAAATTTTTAATTTATTATTATGTTATGAATATATTTATTTTTATTATAATTAAAAAAAACATATCTTTTTTAAAATAAAAAGCAGTTAAAATTTATAAATTAAATAAAAAAATAATATAATTTTATTTTTTTAAATAAAAACTATCTTTTTTTTAATAAAAACAATAATAATTTTATAAAAAAGCTAAGTTTAAGAATTAAAATAGATTAAATAATAATAAATTTTAATCAAAATTTGATAAAAAATATTCGTTTTAAGAAGTTATAGATTTAAGACTTTAAAAAATATAAAATTTTTAAGGTTTATTAATATAGATGTATTATTTTTGAAAATAAAAAAATATGAAATAAACTTTAAAAGTAAAAGTAAAATATTATTCTAAATTTTTTTATTTGAATTGCACTGAAAAATTAGAAAAAAGGATTGAATAGCTTTTGATGATAAAAAATAAGGTAATTTTTTAAATAAAACTTTTTCTTTAAAAATAATAATAAATAATGTAATTTATTTAAAAAAATAAAAATACAAAAAATATATTTAATAAAAAACTATAAAATTAAAAATAAAAATTTAAAAGAATAATTAAATATTTATAGCATATTCTAAATAATTAAATAAATATAATGAATAATATAAATATAAATCGAAATTCAATAAATAGAGCAATTATTAAAAATCAAAAATTTTAATTTTCCTTGAAATATTTAAAAACTGATTCTTTTAATAATATATAATTTTTTAAAAATAATATATATTTAATATTTTTTTTATTTTTACATTTATATTTAAATTATAAAATTTAAAAAAAAATATTAATTAATTTATTTTATAAAAAACAAATATAGCCTACCAAAAATTAAATAAATAAATGATAATTTATGAATTTACTTTACTTTATTATATATTTTTATAAAATTTATTATTTAATAATATTCAAAATCAATAGATTGTAAAAAAATAATTATTAAAAACCAAACTAAAAAATAAATATTTTTCAACACTATTTTATAAATAAAATAAGTTAATTATGGCAAAATAATTCGAATAAAAAATAGTCAATAAAAAAAGTAAAAACTAAATAATAACTATTATATTATTAATCATCGTCTTAAGCATTATCTAAAAATCTTACTGACCCATTGCATCTTTCACACATATTTTTTTCTATACTAAAATAATATTTTTTTTCACATCTAGTGCATATTTATTAACTACATATTAGACAATTAGTGAATCAAATACATTTATCTTAACATAATATATATCCATTTGCATTAGGTTGATTAAAATCTTCTAAATAACCATTCAAACAAGTTAAGCACATTCCTGAATAATGACAATCAGTACATCCCTAATCACATTATATTAGTTTAGGATCTGAGGTAATATAAATATATTAATTTATTTTTTTCTTCATATTCATAGTCAATACCACATAAATTGCATCTATACTTATTACATCTAGCACAATTAACTAATAAATTACTTCAATTAATACATTTTATAAGTCTAAAACCATAAGTATTTTCATAGTAATCATAAAAACCCACATTGCAACTTAAGCATTCTCGAGATTCAGAACATTCACATCCTTCATAACACATATTATCGGTACTTAGAACTCTACTAGTGATTTCTAAGCATTATTTACTTTCCTAATCTATTAATAATAATCTTAAAATTATTAGCATTCCTAAGATTGATTACATTATATACATTCCTAAGGAAATTAATTTTAAATATTAATTAAATTGGTTAAAGTACCAAATATTAAGATATTTATTAAGATTAGTATTAAAAACAAAATTGATTTAATTTTTATGTATTTTTTAATATTTTTTATATAATAATTATATTGTTTATATATATATAGATAAATATATTTTAATTTATCTAAATTTTAATGGATATTAAAAACTTTGATTTAAATAGTATTAATTTTTGTCTTTTTTTATAAAACAAACATTATGTAATAAAGAAATAATATATATATATATATAGATTTCTATATAATTATATACAAATTATTTGTTTTAATAAATATAAAAATATTCTTTTATATAAATATTATTATTTTTTGCATTTTTAAAAAAAACTATCATTATTTAATAGAGTAATAAAAATATTTATAAATATCTTGTTTTTATAAATTATTTAGTATAAAATTAAATTATATATTTCCATAATTTATTTTGAATCAAAAAAAATAAAAATATATATATATATATTTTTATTTAAGAATATATATATAATAATATTATTTGAAATATGTAATTATAAAAATATCTATTTTTCATGATTGTTAAAATTTATATATTACTTATATACAAATAATTGATATTAATAAATATAAAAATTTCTTTTAGAATTTTATTTGTTTTTGCATTTTTTAAAAAATATATAATTATGCTATAGATTAATAAAAATATTTAAAAATTTATTGTATTAATTTTATATATATTTTTTAAAAAGATTATATATTTTCCATTAATTAAAAAAATATCATAATTTTATATATTATTTCTTAAGAAATGATATATAATAATATTTTTGAAAAAATATAAATATAAAAATATCTATTTTTTTGATTATAAAAATTTGCATATTCATTATATAAAAATTATTAATTTTAAAAATATAAAACTATCTTCTATAAAATAAAATATAATATATAATGATTTTTTAAATATTAATTATTTTATGTTCTTTTAATTATTTTTATTAAGCTTTTCTTTTTTAATATATTTATTTTATTTTTATTTTTAATAATTTTATTATTTTATTTTTGATTATTTATATTAGAATTTCATTTTTATATCTTTATTAAATATTTTTATTATTAAATAACAAATATTAATAAGATTTTTTTTATTTTTTTAATATAAGATATTTAAATAATATAATAATTAATAAAAGCTTTAATTATATATGTATTAAAAAAGGTAAAAAATAAGTTATTTTTTATATAAAATAAAAAAATTATGTATAAATATTTTAAATTATTTATTATCAATATATTTATATAAATAGATTAATATTTAATTTGTTATTATTATTTTTAATTTATTATAAATTATTATAATTTATTTTTATATTTTAATAATTATATATATATTTAATACTATATTTTTCTAAATGTAAGAAAAATTAGTATAAATAATTAAAGATATTATATTATATTTATTAA